TACTAACCTTGTCTAATTTTGATTGCTGATATCTTTTGTTCATTTACGACGCATGTACCCTTTAAGCATTTCTGACATGCATTAAGCTAGTGCCTGCCTGAATATACCGACATTATGAGTAATTCCAATTCTTGTGATTACTGCCCCTGCAGCCAAAGTGCTGAACTTGGCCCTTGTTTTTCTTCAGCTCCTACGTCTACTTATGAAAAATAACCAGCTATTTTGTACTTGCTCCGGAAACAGCACAATCCTTACTCATTGAAGATAATTTTTTCTGGTGAAGTAAATGCATTAATTCCAATTTGGTGCAAGTTTCACGTTCTCTAACTATTTTTCTACAATATGATGAAAGAACGATAAAAGAAGAACCACAAAATTTTGCTGGAAGAGCCAAGTAGAAATTCTACTACATAAAGAAATGGATACAATTGCTAAAATCTCGTCCCTAGCTTCGATAGAAGCTTCCCAATACACCCTATCTCACAACGCTCTTTTGTACTCAATAGCAATGCATCCATTATTGCAATCAAAATTCAAGGCAGCATTAGCAAGTTTAACTTGGCCTTCCACATTTCATGTCTGTTGGTTAGCAACTAATTTGACAGAATATGGCACTTGATCGCCTTAAATATTTATGCATCTTCCACTTTGCATTGATTGATCTTGGATGAAATTTCTTCACTTCGGAGACTTGCCATGTCATCCCTGGGCTGCTAGCAAAAATGACACTGCCGGTGTTGGCTGAATTATCAGGAGAGATGCGGCCTATGTTGGAAAGTGGGTTCAAATCTCTTCATCACCATTTCAAGACAAAACATATAGAGCAAACCACGTTTGCCACCACTGGGTCTCCAATACTATACCATTGATTTCCATGGTTGTCATGGTTGACTCTCTCTGTTTTCATCTTGAATTCCCTGCTGTTCATTTGTTAAAACATGAGAACTTTGATGTCAATTACGAGAGCATCACAAAGTAGCATTGATAATGGAAATGAGAAATAAGAATTAAAGAAAAGCATATCTACTTGAAATGAATTTCAAGCTTAATCATAATTCTACTCAAAACATACTTTCAAGGAGTTAGAGTCATTATGGGTTGAGATGTCCCTGGAGTCAGGGTACACCTTAGTCAATGACAACTCAACAGAAAGAAACCTACAAATTGGAAGTCCATGAGCAACTTTGCATCAGCTGCCATTCTTTGAAACAAATTGAACTCAGAAGTGATTTACCTACTCAAGGTATAATAGACTGATCGACATCCTGTCACTCTCCCAGCTGACTGAAATTGACCACCTCCAAGAGATTAAAACCTTATGGTCCAATAACTTTTAAAGGAAGAATCTTAATTAGTTTTACCATAAGACTATGCTCATTGTACTAATTAACAAAAGATTAAAAAATCAGAAAGCCCATGCTTAAATGCTTGAGACTCAGGGAACATACCAGAATCATTCTTAATTTCTCTTGATGACAGTGCCTTTCTAACTGCTTTTTGCTCGTTCGATGAGCATTTGTTAGGTGTTTCAAGGCCAATGGATGGCCTACAATTACAGCAATCAAACCCTATTGAAACCATAACACCTAATAGAACTCCAATCCATGTTTTGCATTCCTGTGGACAAATTAAAACGACCAACAATCTAGATCATAACCACAAACATCAATCTAGAAAATTAAAGAAAAACCAATGCTTTAAATGAACAAAAAATTCAAAAGTTAATTACATTGGCTTGTTTTCCATTTCTATCTCCATGGTCTGAATCCCCTCAGTTGCAGATTCTTCCAAGTTTGAATTCAAAATCTATTATAATTACAAGTCTGCAAATATATATATTAAGAAATGGGAAGTGATGTATTAGAGGCATGCAATAAGGAACTAAATAGTTAGTACCAAATGAAAATTATAAGTTGTTAAATACCAATCATTTGATTAATAAAAAAAAAAAAAAAAAAA